TTCTGTTAGTGGGCTCTGCATTCTCATCTCCAGAGGCTCTCTTCTCTTGCCAGGGCAGGTGGCCCGTCTCTACTTTTCTCCTCCTATACCTTAGGCATTTGTTGTGTTCCCTGTGACAGATCATACTGTATGGAAGAGCAAAGAAAGACTTCCTCAACAGTAGCTAATCAATCAGAGGGATAAAGCTATTTTTGCTGGAAGTAAGATATGCCAGGCAAGGAAAGGGATCCTGATGAATTATTTAAGATTGAGCTCAGATATTCACTTGTAGGGTGTGTGTGTGTGTGTGTGTGTGTGTGTGTGTGTCTGTGTGTGTGTGTGTGTGCATGCTCGCGCACGCACGCACAGGAGACAGAGTGACGGAGGGGGAGAGAGAGAGAGAGATGCTGTTAGGGAGAGATTTAGATCTCACATTTCACTAAAAGGCAAAGGCCATCTAATTTCTGATTTTGGTTTTTCAACAGTCTTCTATATCTCTATATTGTTTTTTGCTTTTGGCTTCTGTTGAAATGCAAGACATGTCTTTACTACAACCAAGAACAGCCCCTCTGTGTTAATTTTCGGTTACTACACAACAAATTACCACGGACACAGTGACTTAAACAGCACAGATTTATTATCTTACAGTTCTGTAGGTTGAAATTCACATAGGGGGCTCATTGCGCTAAAATCAGTGTTACTGGGTCTGCATTCCCTTCTGGAGGCTAGAGGGGAGGTTCTGTTTCCCTGCATTCAATCCTTTGTGATTACAGAACTGATATCCTGTGTCCTTGATGAACTCCAGCTGGGGTGGTCTCTAGCTTCTAGTGGCAACTGTATTCCTGGGCTGCTGGCCTTCTTCCTCCATTTCAAAGCTAGCAAACATGGGTTGAATCCCTCTCCTACTTTAAATCTCTCCTTCTTTGGCTTTATCTCTGACTCACTCTTCTGTCTTCCTCTTCCATGTTTAAGGACTCATATGATTTGATTGAGTCTGCCTAGATAACCCAGGATAATATTTTCATCTCAAAGTCTTTAACCTTAACCATATCTGCAAAGTCCCTTTGCCAAGTAAGACAACATAGTCACAGGTTCCAAGGATTAGGGTGTGGACATTTTCTGGGACCATTACATGTAACACTTTGCCTCTTTTTCTTCTTTTCTCCCTCTTTCTTCCTCCTCATCTTTCTTCTCCCTTTCATTTGTTCCTTCTTTCTTAAAAACGAAGATGAGAGAGAGAAAGAGAGAAAGTGTGTGTGTGTACTATCTACTAAGTAATAGGTACTGCACAGGCACTGGCTAAAAAAGATGAATTAGTTATAGCCTCTGCTCTCAGAGAGCTTACAATTTATTGGGAGAATTCATTTCAATAAAAGATAAAAATCAAGACAAGGTGTTAGGTGGTATAAATTTCTTATACATTTAATCTCTTTAATCTCTTCCTCTGAATATTCAGATCTTCTTATCCTAAGAATAAACACTCTAACTAAATACTGGCAAGTGAATGAATAAAGAGATTTGCACAGTGGCAGAAGGTTTCTAAAGCCTTACCTCTACCAGACAATGGGACATATGCAGTTTAAAGGCTATGCAGTTTATCACAAGTCAGTGTAAATGTACCATAAATCCGTGTAGTCTGAGATGCCTTCCAATCCCTCTTCACTAAGGAAATGGTGGAGTTCCTTGGCCAGGGATGGGTAAAGAAATGTTTCTGCCTTCTTAAACCTGGGTTTCTTTCTTCTTTATTTCTGTATTTTCTGTATTGGTTCAGTTGGTTCTGTATTTTCTGCAGGCAACAACTTCTCCTTTTTTCCTTCTCAGCCAAACTTCTTAATTCAATTTATTCTAACAAATATAGAGTCCTCATATGTGCTCGATAGTTACTTGGTGCTGGAGGTACAAAGATGAAAGAGAGTCCCTGTTCTTGAAAGCAAAATCCATTTCTGTTGCTTTGACAGCCTAGTGATCCACTCATATTTTGGTATTTGACCTTTTCCCCTTTTATCCTTCTCAGCCAAACCTCCCCAACCTGTCTGCTTAGTGTACACTGCCATGTGCTGAGATATTTCTTCCCTCAGCCCTTGGGCAGTCTGGCAGAGCCCTGTGTTCCATTTACTCTGGTGTTCCATACAAAAATTATTTTCTGTGTGTGCCATAATTTGAAAATCTGAGAAGCAATACTCTAAGCCAATAGTTGTCAAGTGTAGTACCCAGACCAGCAACATTAGCATCTTTGGAAAGTTGTTAGAAATCCAAATTCCTGGAGCCCTCATGCCTGTAGTCCCACTTTCTTCAGAGGTTGAGGCCCAAGGATCCCTTGAGGGGCTAGGAGTTTAAGTCCAGCCTGGGCAACATAGTGAGACCCCATCTTTTTGGGGAAAAAATAGGAAAAAAATAAATGCAAATTCCTAGACCCCACCCTAGACCTGTTGTACTGGAAACTCTGGGAGTGGGAGCTAGAAATCTGTATTTTAATAAGTGTGCTAGAGGATTCTCATGCTCCTTAAAGTCTGAGGCCCACTGCACTAAGCCACATTCCCAGTGGTCACCTATGACTAAAATTCATTTTGCCATTTTCATCTCAGTTCTCACCCACATTAACTTCTCTGCAGTATTTGACTCTTCTCAAAAGCTCATCTTTCCCGGCTCCTGTGACACTTCATTCCTCTGGTCCTCCTACTCTCTTTCTCTCCGATGATTTTTCTCAGTATCTTTGGTCGGCTCCTCTTTCTCTGCTCCTTGTGTAAATGTAGTCACTTCTCAAAGTCCTGCCCTCGGCCCCTCTTCTCTTGCTGTCCTTGGGTGATTCCATTTACTCCCCTCATCTGTTTTCTTCAGGTGGAGAGCTCCCAACTCCTACCTCTCTGCTAAGATCCGATGCTGTATTTCCATCTCCTCTTCATCTTCTGCCCTGGCCTATCTGCAGAGCTCAGCCAAACACACAGTAAGTTTTCATTTACAGGTCAAAGTCTGCTCTTCCTCTTAGGTCCCTCAGCCTTAAAAACTAGTTCTCAAATGGGATTGTAGAATCATTCTCAACTCCTTCCCATCCGCAAGCCCTCCATTCTGAGCTCACCCTATCCTTCACAGAGGATCACGTCATGCTAATTCAGTCTCCCCAAATCTCTGTATCTTGTCCTTTCCTCTCAAGCCCATTGTCTTATTTTTGGCTCTCATCTTCTTTCACCTAGGAATTTATAATAAGTTTTGATGGGCTTCACTTGCCTACAATCCTTCTCCACTTAGAATCTTCTCAAAACACAGATCTGATTATACAAAAAATACATTTGATCAACACTTCTTTGTTTAAAGTTTTTACCCTCTGGTCCCAATGGACCCTTTACATTGCATTCACCACTATGGCATCCTATCACACTCTACTTTTTTCTCCTGCCTCCCTAGAAAGAACACTCACTGTTTCCCAAACATACCAGGTACCTCTAGACTCCATGCCATTGCCCAGGCTGTTCCTTAGCCTTGCATTCTCTAGCTCAGTCAACCCTGCTTGTCGAAATCCACATGTAACTGTCAGGGTGCAGGTTGTGTCCAGAGGATGCCTCCTCTGAGGGGATTTCCCCGACTTCCCAGTTGGATTTAATCCCTCTTCCTCTGTGCTCCCCCAGCATTTCCGCAGAGCTCTGTGAGTACTTAACTCACTTCTCCATGCATTGGAGTCAGCTATTTAAATCTCTCTGTCCTCCACTAGGTCACCTAAGACATGACAAGGAGGTCTTAGTCGTCACGGCATCCCCCACAGCACATACTAGGTTCCCAAGAGTTGTCTGCTGAATCGGTCTGATTTTGTTGAAATGGTGCAACAGTGAAACGATGACCTGTCCCCTGAGGGGTCATCTCGTGGGTCAGCACTTGTTAGGACCTCTGGAGTTAGGCTTGACTGAGAACACCCAGAGTGCAGCAGGGAAGGATGGTTCCCTGGAGACCTGTGGCAGTCTTGTTCTGTGCTCCCTCTGCCTCCTGTTCCCTCCCTCCAGAGAAGACCCTTGCTTGAGATCACTCTTCCCCTCATTAGCTGTGCTTGTGGAGAGTTCCCCAGCTGCAGCTTCCTTTGGTCTTCTCTGTCTTCCATGGTTTGTTGATTTACTTCCCTGTCATCCTCTTTCTCTGGCTGTGGTTGTAAATAGAGCTGGTGACTGTAAGCCCCGGGCCTGTGCAGTGAACCTGTCTCATATGCATGGCAGGTCCAGGAGACCGTGGGATCCATGGGAAGGGTCACCTCTCCATTCCAAAGCTGCTCTGGGCTCTGGCCCAAGCTGTCCTGGAGGTTTTGTCCTGACTCTCCAAATGGACCTTTACAGATAGAAGCATCACATTCTCTCCATTTCTCCACGATGCTCCCTCTTGCTCCTGTTCTTGACACCATGACCCCCTGGCCACAGGATGGGCAGGTGGTCGAGGGGACAGTCAGGCTTGTTTGCAGCAAAAGGTGACAAATGACACAGAACATTTCATGCATTACACTTTCTCATGTCTCTTTTTTTTTTTTTTTTTTTGCCTCTTTGAGAAAGTTGGAGCTGTGCGTGATATAAATTGCCTTAGCCATTGATGAAATCCTAATCAAAAGTGGCCTTGTTGGTTATGAAAGGAGAGCAACAACCTTGAAGCCAGACCAGGAATATGGGGCTTTATCTTTCCCCCTTCACCATCTCTCATAAAGCAACCACTTTCACCCTGGAATGTTTTTGAGCAAAAGCAGGTTATCTTTTCTCCCACAAGCCAGTTACCCTGCTTCACTTCCTTGTGTCCCAGGTGATCTTCTCCCTCCTTCACCTCCCCCTCTGCCATCCCCTCTGAGCTCTGCCTCTCCCTGAATTCTGGAGAGCCACCAGCCCCTCGGAGGCAGCTGCCCGTGAGTGAGCTGGGAGCGGGAGAGCCACACAGGCAGTGCCATCCTGCTGGAGTCTGTGGTCCTCCCCCGACTCTGCGTGGCAGTGCGCATCATCTGTCAGAGTGCCCCTCTCCCCTCCCTCTACTTCCCCACCCCCTCCCCTGCCGCTCACTCGCTCTTTCCCTTTTCATGAGATGCAGAGCCTGGAGAGGAGCGGAGCCGGCGGGAGCAGCATGTTGCAGCCGCTATTCTAGGGGTGCTGGGTGAAGTGGGCCGCCCTCTGCCACCCTCTCCCAGGTGCCAGGAGGAGGTGGCTGACTGTCACTCAGGGCCTCACCGAACCATGCCCAGCTGGGGACCGCACCAGCCACACCTTCCCAGCTGCGCTGCCCACCGCCAGGCAGGTAAGAGAGAGCAGCTGCTTCCAGCAGGGCCTGAGTGGGTCCCTGGGCAGGTCAGCCCGGGCTATAAGTCTTGCTGAGAGGTGCAGGACATTGCAGGGCAGAAAAGGTTCTGGCCTCCTGTCGTTGTCCCCATTTACTCTCTGACTCCTCAGAGCTATTAAGCCCGCCACCCCTGCCAGGAGCAAGGGTGTAGAAATATGTGTTCTTCCCAGTTAGCAGGTGCTAAGCCTCAAATGTCCTTTTTGTTCTCCATCCTCCTTCCTCAACCCCAACTCCTCAGGTCCCCTAAAACCTACTTTCTGTTCAAAGGTGATCCTGTTTCTTCTCTCAGCTCCCTTAGGGGGCTCTGAAAATATTGTAGGTTGATATCTGGACGATAACACTGTCTCTTTATTTTTAGTTTCATTCATGTCTTTTTCTGCTGTTGTCTTAAATGGGTTGCTTGCACAGCAGTCTGGCTGCACGCAGAATCTGTTTTGTTTCCAGTACATGTGCAGGTCTTTCGTGTTGCTGGTGACTAGTGTTGGTGACACATTCCGATGCAGAAGAACTCACAATCACAATGAGTTGGAGGGAGATTAAAATTGGAGGTCACCAATTTCTAAGCAGTGAGTTGAGGGCACAGTTACCTGCTACAGGGACTGAAGAGTCCATGGCATCAGATAAATGGGTCCTTCTCAGCACTGTCTAGTTAGTGACTTTTTTTTTTTTTTGATCACTGGGAGGAGGGTTCCTCTTCTCTTTCTGTGATAGAGTGGTGACTCAATATCAACCTATTGTTGAACTACATACTGAGAACCTGGCTTGCAAGTGTTTGTAGGTCCTGACCTTGGGGTGCTTACAATCTAATGAAATAATGAAGGCAAGCTTACCCCATCCTGAAGTCTGGGTTAATTCTTTAGAAAAAACTTTAGAGTTTTCCTGGAAAATGGAGGAGGTGCTGGCAAGTGGGAGTGAGATAACTGTATTCATGAGATCATAGTAGTGCTTGTTTACAGTTAAAAGCTCTGAACATGCAACATGGTATTACGCTGATGATGGCTATTATTATTTTGAGAATGAGAGTCCGGTGAGCGTTCACTCCTGTAAACTAGTCTTTATTAACTGTTTGCTCTCCCCCCATTCTTAGAGCAGGTTTCCTGAAAGAAGTGTGTGTTAGATTGGAAAGTTGATGAGTGAGTGGGGAGTAGAGCATGTAGTGTGGCTCACATCTCACCATGGCCAGGCTAAGGTAAGCCTCCCTTGGGTATCACCTCCTTTTAGCTTCTTCTTTGTTTTAAAATTTTTTCCACATAGTTTCTAACACACAAGGGGATCTGAAAACTTGCTTTTATTCTTTGTCCAGGTGAATGAAACATGCCAGTTAGGTGAAGGTCTCTCTCCCATGGGTCAGTGAACTCTGACCTGGAGAACACGGTTCCTTAGTCACAACAGCCACGCCACTACTGCTAGGGGCTCTTAGAGGACAGGGCAAGAGTGTGGATAGACAGCTGAGCCAAACCCTCATCTTTCTGTTAAGAAAACCCCTCCAAGTGTGGATCTCAGCCATGGGTCAGCAGCAGCATGAGCTGAATAGGCAGAGTTGGGGTGGAAAAAATACTGGAGGTCCTGGGTTTAAGTCTTCCTAGGACCATTAAGTGAATTACCCTAGGCCCTCCACTTAGGGCCACTGAGCAGCTTCATCTGTAAAATGAGAGCGATAACAAGTGCCTGGCTCACTTTCAAAGGAGATTGTGAGGATCAGCTGAAAGGAATGATAGCTCGCAGTGGTCAAGATGTGCTGAACAACTTTACTAGGTGCTTGCCCTACATGATGCTGTTTAATTCTCCCAACTTCCTAGAACAAATTGAGGCTCAAGGGGGGTAAAAAAAAAACTCGATGAAGTTTAGCCAAAGAAGTGAAAGCACCTGTCCTTGTATCATCATCCCCATTTACTCTCTAACAGATTCTTCAGAACCTTTAAACCCGCCACTCTTGCCAGGAGCAAGGGTGCAGAAATTTGCCTGTTCTTCCTAGTTAGCAGGTGCTAAGCCTCAAATGTCCTTTTTGTTCTCCATCTTCCTTTCTCAATCCCAACTCCAACTTGTGACTTGTGATTATAAGTAACAAAACTCACATTTGTATAGCACAACACCAACTTGTGACTGTGCTATACAAATGTAAGTTTTGTTACATATAATGACTTTATGGCTTAGAAAAATTTTCCTGTCCATTCTATTCCAGGCTGTCTGTGCTTTCTGGTTTCTTCTTTGTCCAAACACTACATTTCTAGAGATGTCAGAAATGCTTCCTTGCTTCCCCTCTGTGCCTGGAGGTATTTTTTACTGTCCAAGAAACATCAGCATCATCATCAGAACCTTTGCCAGTGTTCTCTGCATGGAATTTGTCAATGTTCTCTGTATGGAATTTCCCAAAGGCTTTTGAATTCATCTGTAAAAGGTTCTAGAAGGAAGAGGGTCTTGGAAAAGCTAAGTGACTTAAGGTAGATTCCTCCCAGGGCCTTGTCTCTCAAGGAAAAGTGTCAGGGGGAATTTGCTCAGCATCTCTGTGCATCACAGTGCACCCACCCACACAGCCCTCGTCCCTCCTCCCGCCCCCAGCACAGACATTAACGTGCACCAGCACATGCCCGCAAGCAAGGCATCTCACTGAGTGCTCTCAGTTCTCAGTTCTCTGAATTTCGGAGCAGATACCAGTGGGAGAACTGTTCCCAGAGTCCCAGGCTCCACTCCACTATTCCCTGCTGCTGTTGCTGTGGCTGAACCCCACTCCTGGGTCTGATGGATTTTCCTTGCTGTGTGATTCTAGGTGTCTGGCTAGAATGGAGCTGGGAGGGAGGACATGAAAGCCATTGCCTGAAGTCATTAAAAATGGAGGATTAGAAAGAGCTTATTTTATATTCAGAGGAGGGGGAGAGTGCTGAAGCTGCTCTCTGCCCACAGCTGTAGACTCTGATGGCAAACGGTAAAGCTTTTGTTACTATCTGAGAAGGGGAAGAGATTGATAACCAGCACCCTGGCACTGAGAGATAGGAGGGAAAGCCACATTTCAGCTGTGGCAGGGCTTCATGCTTGCCTCTCAGCTCCATGGCTTTGAAAACTACATCCCTCTGCTTCTCCACCTTTGGCCCTGCTGTCCCGTCCATGCAGCTTCCACACCTCTCCCCACTGGGTGTGGGGCTTCTGCCTTCTCTAACTCTGATGTTCTCCCTGTGACTTAATGTTTTTGTAAGCCTAAGTGATTTACATCCAATGTTTACTTATATATTTCACTGAATTCTTGCAGTAACACAGGAAGTGGGCATTGCCTTAGTAATTCTGATTTCAGAGATGAGAAGGCAAGGTCCTAAGCCAAAGAGAACCTGCCATACAGGGCAGAGTTGGAGCTTGAACCCTTGTTGCTGACCCTGGAGCCTGTGCCACACTGTGACTCCACACTGTCTCTGTTGGCCAGCATCCTACACCAAACATAGTTTCCTCACCTACCTGCTGGGGGGCTTATGTCAGCTCAACATACATTAACTGAGCCTTTTCCTGTTGCCAGGGACTGTGCTACATTTTGGAGGTGTAGAGATGAAAAATACATTTTTTACCTAGGCAATGTACATAGGGAATATAATGTACCCATGCCTGGGACCTTGCTTGGCACATAGGAGACACTTAAATGTTAGTCAGATGACTAAATGAGTGAATGAATGAATGAACCCATGCTCCCTGCCCTTGATGAACTTAGGGTCTGGTTAGGGGAAGACAGTTGCAGGTACCTAGCTATGCCAGGTGCTGACATAGAGAAGTGTGCCTGGAAGCCATAGGAGCACAGAGGGCACTTCCTGAACTTAGGTGTTCAGGTGAGGCTTTTGGAGGAGTCATCCTGAAGTGCAGCTTAAGGATGAGCAGGACTCACTCAGATCAAGGACATTCTGGGCAGAGGAAATGAAACAAAGGAGGACCAAAGCCATGGAACCCTGTGATGTGTGCTCATGATTGCGGAAAGTGTAGAGTTGTTGGGGCCTGAAGGACAAGCCAGGCGAGTGGTAGGTGACTCTCAAGGTAGCCAGACCTTGGGGAGTTTGTGTGTCAGGATCCTTCTTAAGCTGGAACTTTACCCCTAGAGTAGAAGGGCTTAAAGATTTTGAGGAGAAGGAAATGCAGTCATGTTTGTGACTAACCAGGTGATTATGGCTGCAGATTGGAGCTGAATTTAAGAAAATAGGCTGTCTCATGGAGACCAGAGACTGTGAGGACACGAACCAGGACCATGAGGACATGAGCCAGAGCAGTGGTAGCGGGGATGGAGGGAAGGAGACAGATTTGAAAACTATGAAAGATTTAATCAGTATGATTTGGTAATTGGTTGTCGACAGGAGATGAGAGAAAGGGAGTTGCCTGTAATTACTTTCCTATTTCTGGCTTGAGTTACTCAGTAGATGGTGGTGCCAGAAACTGAGATCAGCAATTCCAGAGGAAGCCAAGGTTTGTATGTGTGTGTAGGGGGTGCGGGTGGGGTGGGAGGTGGGCGTGGTGAGGGTGGCAGATAAAATGGGCCAAGAAAAGATGGAAATATGATGTGTCCATTATTTAGATATACTTGCAGTTGTTGGGCCTGTAGGATATCTGAGGGGTACGTTCAGCAACCCAAGGGCTATCTGAGTCTACATGACTGGGAGCTATTGGTGTCTACATGTTGGGAGAGGGGCTAGAGTTGGAGAAAAATATTTAGAAATGGTCAATATACCCAATGTAGTTAGGACTATGGGCAAGGATGAGATTGCCCAAGTAGCAGGCAAAGTGAGAGGAGCAGGAAGCTAAGATTAGAGAGGAAGGAAAATAACGGTGTTTATGGAGTGGACAGAGGAGGAGTAGGAGAAGCCAGCAAAGGAGACCAAGGGGACGGGCAGCCAGGGGAGTGTAATGTTGGGAAGTCAAAGGAGAGGGTACAAAAAATGAATGGCCACCATGGCAAAGGCAGCAAAGAGGTTCATAAAGACAAGTACTGGAACATTTCCACTGGACCTCACAGTATGGAAGCTGTGTTTTAGGGCAATGGTGGGAATGGAAGCCAAATGGCAAAAGGAGCTAGGAGGGATAGGAAGTGAGGAAGCAGAGGAGACTCTTTCAAGCAGTTTTGCTGATAAAAGGAGAAACGTCCAACGTGTTTCCCAAAGGGAATTTTTTTTAATAGAAGAGATGAACATTGTTATTGTTAAGTGCAGAATAACATGTGAGAAAGAGAAAATAAAGATAGAGAGTTCATAAAGCAGGGTCCATGGGAAAGGATAAGCAGAAGGCCACAGGAGGAAGGATTCTCCTTAAATAGACATATTTGAGAGCAGCTGGAAGTGGGTCAGAGTGTGTGTAACATGGATAGATTAGTAAGGGTTAGGAAGCAAAACGAGGTCCAGGTATTTCATACCCGAGGCCTTGATTATCTTGATGGGACAAGGAGATCAGGTCGTGAGGGTGTGAAAAGTTGTGTGTGTTGCATGAGCTCTCTCTCTCCACTCTACCTTCTTGCCCTTCAGCTGCCCTCACAGAAACTAGTTGTTCACTATAAAGGTCATTTGTAAAACCTGAGTTCAGTGTTTAAGGTTGCTATCATAGTAGGAACAGAGAAAGGCTGGGGAGGTGAGCAAACAGGCCATCATTTGTCTCCTTGTCCAGTGTTAACATATGGCCCTGGATTCTGCATGTGTAGATAGGCAGCTCAGCAGTGGGAATAAAGGATGTGGCTGGATTCCACCCAGGAACTCTGAGTCGGAGTCCTGGCCATGCCTCTAAGAAATGCGACATTGGACAAAGTCTTCAAAATTTAGTTTCTGTAGGTGATGTCTAGGAGCTATACCCACTCTAAACCTCTGTGAATTTTAGCGCCTGCTCCTTAGGCATAAAATAATAGATTTTTCTTAAAATGGATTTATTCAAGGTGAGAAAAACTTACAGTGGAAAATGTACAGAAAATCAAGTTCCATTCAAATAGTCTCCTCCTTCTGTATTTCAGTATTGTTGCACTTTACTGGCTTATTTTACCGAAGCTACACATTCTAGGCACAATTTCAAATATACACAAGTCAGGAGAACAGAACAGTGAGTCCCTGGGTTGGGTAGCCTCCCACCCAAGATGATGTTGAAGTAGTTCACTGATAGCATATCATTTCAACTATAATATTTCAGAGTATACCTCTAAAAGATAAGGTCTCTTAAAAAAACCTCAATATCAAAATTGCACTAAAAATTAACAATAATAACTTAATACCATTAAATATCCAATCAGTGTTTAGATTTTCTCAACTGCACTGAATTATTTTTAAAATTTTACATTTGAATCAGGGTTCAACACAAAGTGCATGTATTATATTTGGCTCAGGTGTTTCTTAAGCTTTATTTTTAACCCCGATGGCCATTGTCTGCGAGGGAGCACTGTGTAATCCTCTAACGTCTCCTGATTTTGTGTCATTTTCCTTGCTGTTGCTATACCATTTCATTTTAGGAGATATAAGGAAGAATTGCAGGGTTAAATACCAAAGCCTCCAAAATTTAACTTTGAAATTTCTTTCTAGACACACTTAGAAGGGGGAGTATAAAGATAGTGAATAAAGAAAAGAGGCTGGCAAGAGGAAAACCCTGCAGTGAGCAGTGAGGAGACAATGAATGCTCAAGAGGAACAAAAGGAAATGAGAAAGGTAACAGAGACTTACGTAACCCCCAGCCACTGAGCAGCTCGAGAACCATTACAGATGTGCTATCTTATACATTTTTGTCTCACCTTGGTGAGCAGGTGGCAAAAAATGAATCTTTAAATAATGACATTCTATTTATATAGCACCTTTCCCCAAACAGCTTATTAAATAGCTGAACAGACATCTAAGTAATCCTCTACGTAAAATGAAGAAGTACCAGGAAATTTAATTCCCATTTTACAGATGATAAAATATAGTTGAAAAGACTACGAATAATGATAAAAGTGGCTCACACACAACAGCTATTTGACATTTGTCAAGAACTGTGGTGAAGACTCCATTACATTATTTAATTCAATCCTTATAACAAGACTATGACATTGCTATTGTTGTTATCTTCATTTTACCCACGATAAAAATGATACTCAGAGAGGGCGAGTAGTTTGCCCACAATTCTGGATCTGCCCTTAATCTGGAAAATTATGGAGTTGAGGTTGAAGCTCAGGGCTGTCAAATCCACCACACTTTCTTTTCCAGTCAGTCTACTCTGCAGTAAATCAGGAATCTTTTTTTTTTTTTTTTTTCATCTCCTTGCTCACTGGCAAAATCCCATTTAAAGGGAAACCAAAATCATCTTCAAATATAATAATAGGGTGTGATGTACTGGAATTTACGGAGCATTTCCCCCACACACTTTCTCATTTCTTTGCATATAATCACCCTGAAAAATAGACTGGGCAGGTGTGTTAATTTGTGTTTTACAGATGAGGAAATTGAAGTTGAAATGTCTTGGTGATGTTAGTTGGTGATCACAGAGCTAGTAGAAGTAGTTAGTGTCATGGAGCTAGTTAATAGCAGAGTTAGTACCAAAGGCCCTTTCTTCTGATTCCAAATCCTGTACTTCTTGGTTTTCTTTGCAAACCTCATGGGCACACAGCTTTAACTGCTGACTTTTCTCCATGTCCCCTCTGATGTTCCTTATGAGGAGCTGAGCAGCATTATTACAAATTAAATATGTGGATGCTTGAACTGATGAACAGGAAATGAGGCTGCTAATGCTCAGAGGAATGAGATCGAGATGCATTTTTTAAAGTAGAATTTTGGGCCAAGTGGCCTCCTTCTGTCCTGCCCTTCCCTGTGTCCTTCCGGTATCCATGGAAACCCTAAATCAATGCAGCATATGTTGATTCATGTTTCTACTGTTACTAGGAAGCTACGAGGTGGAAATTGCTTTTAAAAGATTTACGGAAGAGCTTTAGCATGCTGACCAGAATTCAAATCTAATATCCAAATGACTGTTTTATTAAAAGCTTTAAATGTGGTATTATCCTAGGTGGTATGTTGGTTAGATAAACACACAGGGGCATTTGGCAATAAACCTCCTCTTCCACTCTCGTGGCTTTTTAAAATATTATATTGCAGATTTAAGCTCCCTTTATCTTCAATTTAATTACATTCTCATGGCCTGTGTGACAATGCCAGGTGCTCCTTCTGCTCTTGATGAATTCCACCCTGCTCTGACCCGGCTATTGTGTTAGTTTGCAAATGCCTTACGTACCTGTGCAGCTGACCCTGAGTGTTATTAGCATTCTGTTGACTTCAGTCTTGACCAGAAGGCTGCAGAAGTCTAACGTGTTTCTGCCATAAAGAATCCTTGTGATTTTTCAGATTTTTTTCATGAACTCGAAATCAAATTTAGCCGACATTTACTCAACACCTGCTCTCTGCAAGGCAATGAGAATTAATAGTAAGGGCAGTAAGTAAAAGAGTCTTTTTGGAGCACACAGTCAATTGAGAAGATCATAAAACATAAATCTCAAGAATAAACTATGCCTGTGATGTGGGCTGTCAGAGAGCCTTACAGCAAGGTGGTGCTATTGGGATGGAGGGAGTTCCTTCTGATTGGGAGAATTCTGAAAAAGGTTTGGAAAGGAGAATTTTTGCTTGAGGTAATAGGTTTAGGGAAGAAGCTGAGAGTTAACAGGCAGATCAAGGGTGGGGACATTCTGGGCAGAAGGGACAGCAGAGGAATCATGCGTATGTGTGGGATAGAAAACTGGGATAGGCAAACGGGACAAACTCATTGTCAGGCAGGACAAGGAGTCATTTGGATATTAGATTTGGGGCCCATCAAAGATGATTGCACAGATGATCCACTTTATGGTATCTGTTCAGTGGTACTCCAGCAATAGTGTAGTGGGCAAGGTTTGTGGGCAGACAGAGAAAGAAACAACAGCAGGGAGATCAGTTATTTAAGAGAGGGCAGGGGTTGTGCAGGTGCTGGGGGTTGAATAACCTCTCATATGTCAACATCAATGGATGGGAGGGAATGAAGTTGAGAAATATTTCAAAAATATGACAAGATTTAAAAACCAATTTAGGAAGGGGAATGGAGAAAAAGAAGCCAGAAATGTCTGTACTTGTTGGGGTTAGGGTTACGGTTAGGGTCCCTTGTGGGACTTGGGCAGAGTAATGCCACAAGCAAACACAGGGAGCCCAGCAGGAAAGGAGGATGTGGGAAGGTAGTTGTTTAGAGACAGTACGGCATGCAGGGTCTATTTAGAGCCAGTATAGCGTGCAGGGTCTGAGATGTGAGGAGCTGTCCAGCAAACCTCTGGAAAAGCAGCCTAGAGCTGAAGAGGCAAGATTGAAGCACTGATTCTGGAGAGGAGTGGTGGGTGCCTGGAGAGGGCAGGGCTTCCCAAGGCAAGTGAGTATAGACTGGGAAGTGCAGAGGGGGGCAGGACAGCCCAGAGGCAGGAGCGGGGCTTGCAATCACTGTGTTCCTGTAAGAGACGTGAGTTGTGGCCAGTTGAGATGTCCTGTGCCAACTCCACCTACCAAGTCAGGAGCAGTAGCCGGAAAAGAACCCAGAGCTCTACATTCCTGGGGCAGAGCTCTAAGCCTGGGGACTACAGAGTCCAAGGTGATGAATTCCTTTCTCACGAGCACTTAACCCTGCTTGCCTTTTCTGTTTATTTATTTCAGGAAAGAAGACAATGCTAGAATGCTTAACTTTAGGTTCAGCTTAATTCTCCTTGAAATTATGCACTGGCCTCTTTGGAAGATTATGCTGGTGTCCTCTTGGGAGAGGGGCCTGCGCTAGGTCTGTGCTTCTCAAACTGTGGTCCTCTGTGATTACTCCTTGGCATTTAGGAGTGTTTTGGTTAGAAAAAAAAAGAAAGTTTGGACTAGTTTTAATGTTCTGTTTCCTTGTATTATTCATGTCCACACACTTTTTTTCCTTCTGCTCTTTATATTCCTGTTACTTCTTTTACATTTTTCTTGTTTACTATAGCTCTTTTTAAACATTGGACTTATTGACTTCCTATGACTATATTATTTCTCCAAAGGCTAATTGAAGATTCTGATGCCTGGTTAATATTGATTAGTTTCCACTTGTGACTCAGGCCCATTTGCAGCCCTGCTCTCTTTCCTCGGGGCCTTTACCCCCTGGATAGTGGCCTGGGCAGTAAGAGATTTGGAGGAGACCTTTGTTCTACTGTTTTAGTGCTGGTAGGAAGTGTCCTATGATGGCACTACGTTTGTGTTAAAGTGAGGAGCAGAGCAGAGGCTGGAAGCATCAGGTTTGGTGCTAGATACTAGCTCTGCCACTTTTAAATGACATGTCTCTGTTTCTCCATCTGTAAAAGAGGGGTGATAAAGGTGTTGGCTTTGTAAATTTGTTCTGAAAATTAAATCGATAACTCAAAGCAATGTTTGGCATAGTGTCTGGCACATACTAACTGCTCATTAAACATTAGCTATGTGGATTCACCTTATTCTAGAAACATATCTTGAATTAGGGGAGTGCTTATCAATGGGCTTTTATTCATCAGTTTATCTGTGTACCAGTTTCTTATGGTGCAGTGTACCAAGAAAATGTCCAGAAATGAAGGGTTCTCTTTCTGCTGAAGTTCTAAACCCCAATTAGCAACAGGGTTCAAGAAAGGGGTAATAAGAAATGAGAAACTTTTCTTTTGCCTCTCATTTTATAACACAAAGTTCCCTTTCTTTAATAGAGGGGCACTGTGGACGATATCAGAAAGAGACAATGAGTCACTGTGGAGGCAGCATCAGAATGTTTATTTCATCTTATCATCAGGCAGTGAGTAGTTGCGGCAGAATCATTTCACTGAGAGAATTCAGGTTATGCACCAATAGATCTGCCCAGAAAGACTGGGTCCTGGTATGATATAGTAGAAAGAGCTCTGCTGTTAGAGTCATAAAGCTTAATTTCTGGTTCTTGTGCCTCCTCTGGCACGTTGCGTCACTTTGATAAAGGTACATCACCTTTTCTGGCCTCGGTTTTTTCATCTGTAACATGGGAATAATAATACTACCCTCTGTGACGATGGCATAGGATTGTTGAGTGACAATACATGAAAATGCTTTATACATTTAAAAAGGATGAAAAAATGGAATTCATTTCCATTATTATAAAGCCATCACTTTCTGTTGAGATTTCTGCTGCCTTCTGGGTTTCAGAAATGGTTTGCAGCTAAGGCTATGTGTCTTTAGAGCTAGTTCCTGAAAGGGAGTATAGACTCAGCCTTAGGGACCTAGAGCATAATGAGAAGACAAGCTTTCTCCCAGGGCAGCGGTTTGCAAACTTTAGCATGCATCAGAGTCACCTGGAAGGCTGATTACTGTCCCCAGAGTTTCTGATTCTGTAGGTCTAGGGGTGGGGCCTGAACATTTGCATTTCTGATACTTCTCAGGTGATGCTGACGCTGCTGGTCCAGGGACCATGCTTGGAGACCCACTACACTAGGGCAAGCAGGAAGAGAGTCCTCCTTCTGGAACTGAAGAAGGCAGTGTGAAGACCCATGTGGGTAAGGAGGTTTGGAAGAAAAAAAAAATGGAAAAGACAGAAAAATAGGGATCATGTGCAGATCGGGCAGAACAAAGGAAAAAGTCTCACTCCATAACAAATGCAAGTAGGGGGAAGTTGCTAGGTGATGGATGAGGGAGAGAGGTGAGTTTCTACTGTAGGAAAAACCAGGTGAGAGGCAGGAGCATAGAGTTGGAAATATGCATGTTTGGGAAGGCAGAGGAGGTGGAAATTTCTCATTAAGAAGTGGGGAGTGGTGTGGTTGGTGCTGGTTAGGGTGGGAGTGGAGATGAGCTGGGGGAGAAATGCCTCTGTAGAGTAAGGGGCACAGCTGAGATGTGGCAGAGAGGGCGATTTCAGGGCTGTGTGGTTTGGCTTGGTAGTGCAGCACAATAGAAATTTGGAGAAAGGGGGTGGAATTTAGATGTGTGACCTGCCCTGTAGCTTTCTTGCTCTCTGCATTTATCACATCACATCACACCCAGCAAGACAGCCCCCCTCCTCCTGACTCATTAGGAGATTTGATTTGGAGTGGCTCCTGCTGTCAGCAGCTGTCTGGGGCAAGATCTTTACGCTCTCCACTGCCGGTGCAGCAGCCAACCTTCAGCCAGCAGCAGGGCTCATTAGAAGAGGGCCCCCTGGACACTTGATTTTCAGCTCACTGGTGACTGGAAAGAGTTAATACCTATTCTTTGCTGCCCCCCGCACAGCCTCTGGGTGCAGAGGGAGGCAGCTGTGGGCTGTGGGGACTTCTCCCTGAGCTGCAACCAGAGGAGCTTCAGGTTAGTGAGGCTGAGCTCGGCTCAGGGGCACCTTCTGCATCCTGCCAATGAGGATGGGCGTGCAGACCGTGCCCGGGAGCTGAGCCACCGCCCGCTGGGTGTAGGCTGCTTCAGTATTTACTGGATGTGACAAGCAGAGAGAAGAGCTTTCAGCGGGGCCGCTTGCTGCCTGGCTCAAGTGGTGGGAGGTGTGTTGTGCATGCCTGTGTGTGTATATGTGTGTGTGCGCGCCTATGTGTTCATGCACACATGCCCTTCACTCGCCGAGGATTTGACTGCTAAAAGAAAGATCTACTTTTTCCCCAGAGCGCCTTAACCCGCAGCCTCTCTGACCACCCAGTTGGCAAAGACCCTCAGGCCATGAGGACTGGCCAAAGACAGTGAGTATTGCCTTTGCTTTTCTCTTTCTTCTCCGGGATGTCTGTGTGCACCGATTGCATTATCCATATTTAATTAACTTGCCTCTTCATGCATATTGATTGCTTTCTTCCCGCAGAGGCTCTAGTTTCTCTCCCCCTCTTTATAAATCTTTGCTCTTTGCTTTTAACCTTTGTTTTTTCTTGAGTATCCCCTCTTCCCACTATGTCTCGTCCTGTCTGCCCCAGACGCACCTGTGACTTGATGCCCATCTATGAGGGCACATGCACTGTGCGGGCAATCACACCATTGAACTTCCTGGGCTTTGGGTAACTTCTAACTCTCAGAAGTCCAGGGCCAAATGGGATAAAAGCCCTGAGGTGCTGGGATGGGCAAGGCAGCTGGGTCAGAGTGTCCTGCTGATTCTTATTTACTGGCATCTGTGGCTGAGCGCATCAAATGGGTAGTGGAGGGTCTGAGCAGCAATTCGGGCAGTGCTGGATTTGAAGGATTTGAAGGAGAGAGACAGGCATCTGAACAGCATGGGCAAGCTAGTGTGGGCTGGCAGTGGGATGGGAAGAGAGACAAGGTGGGGACAGAAGGCTGGGTGAACCCCTGCCCCAAATGACCTTGCCTGCAATGTAGGTGGGTAGTCGTCTCTGGTTCCACTTGGCTCTAGGATAATAAAGGTCCCTGCATGGATTTCCCCTTCCCCTGAGGCCATATCCCACAGCAAGAGGCCTAGGTGCCCCAAACATGACTTCTAGGGACCGTCACAGCTGCAAAAGCTTTGACTTCATGACTCCTGGGGTCTAGGTGTAAGCCTGGTTAGGAGAAAGATTAAGGAAATGTCTCTGCAGCCGGGGAACACAGTCCATGACGATGGGCCCTCATACACAGTCTAACTAATTATTTTTTCTAGTTTTCACAAAGCAATCTTTTAATTTTATTAATTGTAGTATTATTAAAGAAGCTATTTTTAAAAAGTGCTTGTGAAATAGTCACGGTAATATAAAAATAATTTAAATGGTGTAGCTGACATAGGAGTCTTATCTATCTAAATTAGGTTTCTTTTAAAATGGGTTCTATGTTTGGTGTCAGAGTTCCCCAGGGGAGCCCTTTATGGATAGGCTGCTCTCCTCACGTGTTTCTTCCTATCAGAGGTCTTCTGCAGGAACAAAGGGTTTGAAGCACTGAGAATGGGACCCTCAGGAGAGGAAGACTGTGAGTCAATCAGCTTTCAACCTCAATGACCCCTGTCTCCCCACACTCATGTCCTTCCTGCTTTGTGTCAAGAATAGGCCAGTCCCCAGACTGAGGAAGGTCATGTAGGCTCCATATGGGCGAGAAAGGGTGACTTGCATATTCATTTCTTCAGCCTGCACCTGTGATCCCTGCAGAGGAGCAAGCCTGTGTGGCGACGGTGCCTGACAAGCCTCTTTTGGAGTTCCTCCAACCTCCCTCCCACTCCCACTTTCCCGAGTCTCCACGCACTCCCACCTGGGACAGGTGCCCTTGGAGGGAGGCGAGAATCAGAGCAGCATCCAATCAGATTATTTTGGAGCAAGTACTGACCCCCTCCTCCAACCCTGCTGGCTGGTCACTTGGGCCCCACTTTAGTAAGAGAAAGAGAACAGTAGTTTTTGGTTTGCGAGGCCCACGCCTCCCCTGAGGCACACGTCCCACTTTATTTTTGATGGCCAGTGGTTGGGGAATCAGGAACTCCTAACCAATAATCAACAACATGAAGCCACCAACAATTTGTTCTTGTCCATCCTTGGTTTGTCGCCCCCGCTAAGGACAAGTGGACATTTGTGGGGCCTGGGGGGATGTGTGTGGGGAGGTGTTCCGCTGGCGGAAACCTGTCTGAGAGGAAATGTAGCGCAGTCAGATGAGAGAGGGTGGCCCCTCTTACAGCAGATTCTTTGATTTTAGGTGAGAGGACGTGCAAGGGTAAATTCCTGAGCCCCGCAGTCTTATTTGCTGCCCTGACGTCCCTGCAAACCAGCCCAAGGGTTAACCGTAAGCGGATGCCTGTATGGCGGCCTTACTGATGCCACGCAGGTAATGAATCAATGGCCTGTTTTCTTGCCCCTGACCCTTTCCTCTTTTCTCCACCTTGTCACCCCCTCTGCTATTTGAGCCTGGCCCAAGCCTCCTTAGCCCATGCGTGGTCTAATTGCATCTGTCCCCATAGGCCTCCTGTGTGAACTGCACGGTTCTTGTCTGTATGCCTCTTGCAATGTTGTGGCCTTGCAAGCAGGAACTGCCTTAGCTGAAGCCCTCCCATTGACTGGTGAGACAGCTTGGCAGTGACTTATGGGGTGGGATGAGGGACTGTGCATGAGCTTGTATGGAACCATTTAGGGATCTCTGTGAGTTCCTTGGATAGGGGCTGTAGAAAAGAGACAGACAAGGGAAAGCCTCGTTATTTTTTAAAAAGTATCCTTAACCTTTGACTTCTACTTCTCACCTTATTATTTCAGACCTAGCTAAGAAGATTATAATTGAGGTCTGAGCTGGAAAGATGAAAAATAAAACCATTTTGTCCCAAAGAATATTTTGTTGAAGATTTTTGCAAACTATTTGGGAGAATCACAGTTGTCTTGGTAACAAGTAGCATCTTTTACACTGGCCCCTGCTAAACCTTGTTAAATGGCTTGCGTGGATTTGCCATTTTTCAAAAGTCCTCTTGATTGCTCTTTGAGGGCAGTGACCTGAGTGTTTTATGATTGATGATCCTGAGGCACGAGGAATGAACCAACTCACTGAAAGTTGGGCTTTGGCCTATGGGGCAGCCTGAGCAGGACCTTTACTTGAATTCATGGAATGTGATGACTCGAGGGCCCTTCATCAGCTGCTCGCATGGCGTGCTGTCAGACACCCTGCAATTTGCAAGCACGAGCGGACACATAAGATGCCCGCTGTTGCAGGAGAGAGAATAGCAGTAGCCAATGTTTGGAAATGCCATGAAATGGATGGCTTTACAACGCAGCCTGGCTGAGATTCAAGGTGGGAGCAGGGGACGTGCAGGCCCAATTTTTTGCAGGAGAGAGGATATTTCTGGGAACTTGGATGTTCCAGCCCTAGGAGGCTCTTCAGAGACGTGCTGTGGAATACAAATGCTGTCCATCCCTGCCAAATATAATACCATCCCAGCAGACATTTCTTGGATAAAATTTCTGTGAACGAAGACAATTACCAGGGATGAAAATCCATTTGAAGTACAAGAGATTGAATTGGATGACCTCTAAGGTCTCTTCCCACCCCTAGGAAAAAGAGGAAAGAAAGCTAGGCCAGAATGACTCCTTTTCAACATGCAGAATGGCATCTTCTAGGACTATTTCTGTGGCAAATTGTTGCGAACGTGCAAGCGGCAGTTCCTTTTTCTAAGTCACTCTTAAGTCCTGATTTGATTATACTAAACCCATCCCACTTACCTTTGCCCTCAACACAAGGAGTTGTCATAGTTAAAGGTCAGGGGTCAGCAAACTTATTCTGTCAAGGGCTAGAGAGTAAATATTTTCGGGTTTGTGGGCCGTATGGTCTGTGTTGCAATAACTCAGCTCTGCCCTTGTAGTTGAAAGCAGCTTTAGACAATTTGTAAACAAATGGTGTTGTCATGTTCCAATAAAGTTTTATTTACATAGACAGGCATCTTTTCAGGGCTACAGTTTGTCAACCTCTGATTAAAGGTTAACAGAGGCTAGTTGGGCATGGTGGCTTGGGCTACTCAGGAGGCTGAGGCAGGAAGATCACTTGAGGTCAGGAGCTTGAGACCAGCCTGGGTAATATAGCACGACCTTGTCTCTAAAAAAAAAATTAAACATATAAAAAAAGTAAACTGGTAAACGGAGGCTAATGTTGGGAGTCAGAAAGAGACATTAGAGTAACTTCTCACTGGATCTGTTATAAGAGATAACTATTTGAGTGCCCGATGTCATTATATGGGTCCTTTGGGAAATAAAACATATGAGAAATGTAAACATACATGTTAAAAATTTAATTATGCTTATTGAGATAAGCCTAAATGTAAATAGGAATGCATGAGCTTAGTTAGGCAAGCATAAGAACTGACAAAGGGGACATTGGTTCTTAATTGCTGATTGTACCAATTACTCTTCTCCCCCTGCAAGCATCAATCCTATGGGTTGACTATAGCTAGATTTGTGGGATGAGTGGGGAGAACTTGAGTTGGAACTGACCTGCCTTGAGGCCCCCTACTTTGTGCTTAAGACTCTGATATGCACCCTGCACCTTGCAAACATTCCTCTGCTCCCGGTGTGGGTACTCCTTCTGGGTCTTTGCAATCAGGAGCTGCTGCTGCTGCTGCTGTTACTTTGCCCTCCTTGTGGAAAAGCAAAATGTGGATTGTTATTTTGTTATCACTGTATTTTCTTTCCCTACAGAGAATCCTAATTTAGAAATTCTTCCAAGCTAATGACCTTCATTGACTTACCATCAACTTGCCGTGTCAGCTTTAAAAAGCATTAAGCCTCTAGGGGGCCACGTAGGGTACCTATGACTGTTCAGGTAGTTATTGATTCTCTAGGTGTTCTCTTCCTGTTCATGAAGTCTTCAGAGACCACCTGGGGAAGGGTGGGGGCAGTGCTAGCTCCCGTAGCAGCAGCTCCAGGGGCCCTGTATAGAGCTGACAGCTGTGATCATGAGAGTTTCCCCGTCCTTCTGCCCCTGTGCTTGTTGCAGGAACAAAGGGATGAGGACTCGACTGGGATGCCTGTCTCACAAGTCAGACTCGTGTAGTGATTTCACAGCTATTCTTCCAGACAAACCCAACCGCGCTCTCAAGTGAGTAGTACGGCCACGTGCCATTCCCTGGGTAATACAGCGAGTAATATAGTTCACTTCTTTAGTGAGTTGCTGACCAGAGGAGCCACAGGAAAAATCCTGTCTCTTGGCAGCTCCTTTTATATCACTGGATATGAGTGAAAGGATTGTTTATTTTCCTTTTCAAAATGTATAGCTTAGTGATCTCAGAATGGGAATCCTCTTTTTTTTTTCCTAAGAAAGCCGTATCATCCATCACTCTTAAAATTGTGGGTGGCAAAGGATACTTCTGGGTTCTACTTAGTTGTCAATCTGAGCTCTCAATTTGGAAATAAATGTTCAAACTTACTCTAAAAATATGCTTAGATTCAAGTAACCTGAATTCAGCACCTCTTCTGTGCTGGTGCTGTATTAAATGTCATGGATGTTACCTTGTGTAACCCTCACACAACTAGGTAATGGGCATCATTATCCCCATTTCAGGAGTGCAGACATTTAGGTGACAGTAAGAATGGAGTCGGGAGCTGAGTCTAACTTTTCTGACTCTAAGACCAGTTTCTTTCCATTGTTACCTCGACACCTTTAAATCATGGACTTACTTAGCTTTGTTCTTTAGACTAAAAGTCAACAGGCAAAATTCACTGGATTCCAGTCTTGAGGTTTTTTTTTTTTCATCAGTTACTTAAGAATGTACAAATTTACAGCGACAGAATTGCAGGAATCCAGGTATAGTCTTCATTTCATTTGCTACCCGCCACCCCCCATCCACTCCCCACATTTTTCCAATTTGTTTTTTTGAGAAAATCTTAGTGGTTGTTGAGGGCAAGGAGGTTATTTCAGAAACATTCAAGACAGATGTTTCTTTTTTTCTAGGAGATTATCCACAGAAGAAGCTACGAGGTGGGCAGATTCCTTTGATGTGCTTCTTTCTCATAAGTGTAAGTAGAATTCAGGTCATATCATGACATGGCAAATAATCCATTTAGTGAGAGATGTACCAAAGGCCTGTGATGATGCAGGTATGTGCTAGGTGTTCCAGACCTCTGTGGGCCATGCTGTCACAGAGCCTCCTGCCTAGAGGAGCATATAGAAAAGAAAATGAATGATGTAAATGCAGTGAGATGAGGGCCTTCTTTTCTGTTTTCTGGGTTCAAAGTATGATCCCAAGAAGCCTTTGTATTCTCAGCAGTTTTAGCAAGAGAGAGTTTAGCTTAGAGGTTTGGAATGATGGGCTCATTTGGGAATGAGAGAAGCTAGGTTCCAGCCAGATCTCATTTGTAGAATTGAATGGCCTCCCCCCAAATTATGGGAGAGTCTTGGGCTATGCATCAGTCAAATGAATATTTTGTGCATTTTATTATTCACTTGAGTTGACAGTTTTTGAGTTTTATTGCTGCTTTTTGTTTTGAGGGTTTGCTATCCCAGCTGCATTTTACCCCTCAATTTCTTACTGAGTATACATTTTACTGGAATACAATTTCTGCTATACTTCCTCCTCCATTTTTCCCTTCCTCGTCTGTAATGCCTTTTGTTTCCCATGAAGGCAGAAATAGTTGTTCATATTGTAGTGTGGAGAGGGCAATTTGATGTCAGCCAAACTTTTCATCTCTTGCTTTTTCTCATTATGTGCAAGTTCACATTCAATGGCCTTTGAAACTAGTGGCATTTAATACCTGGAGATGGCAGAGGAGGGGTGAGGAAGAGGGAGGGGTTTTGCGAAGAGAAAGAAGGCTTCAAACAGACATTTCCTGTTCCTCTTAAATATGTCGCAGTGACACTAGAAGCCCTAAGTGATCTGGGAACAGAGGGCTGCTTTTAGTTTGGAGTAGTGTTTCCACTTACTTGGAGAAAATGGTTTGGTACAATTAAGTGAAAGGCACTGGGTGGGGGTCAGACCTGCATTCTTGATTTTGACTCAGCGTTGTTACTAAGTAGTTGGGTGGTCTTGACAGAAACTCTCAGTCTTCAGATGTCTTTAGAAGTGATTTTGCTTTCAATTTGATGAGCAGTTCCCTCCAACCATGCTGCTGATCTGGATACACTGATTAATAAATACGTTTGAATAGATTTTAAAATGAAATGCAAAATCTAAGAATAAGTACATATTGTAGCAAGCAGTTTTGTGAGACAAATAGTCACTTTAGTATTCTGTGGATTGCACTTAGGAAGGAAAATAAGACAGCATAGATATAGCATATGTAACATATGGCTACACCCCAAACAGCAAGCTTATGTGATGAATTTGCCAAGGTAATGGCAAATGTATAATAATATTTAGGATTTGCAGTAATGCTATTTTTTTTATGAGGCTATTCTGACTTTTTTTCTGGAGTCACATTAGGCTAAACAAGTGTCACTACCAATTTTCGCCTTCTTTTCTGGCTGGATTTCATTCAAGGTCATCCTGAAGTTTGGTTTCTATTTTAGCCTCACAACTGACTCACTTAGTTCAAGTCCCTGAGGCTGTTTCCTCATTCTAAAATGGGGATGGAGATGCTTGCTACCTGTCACTGAATATGAGAAATTTAATAAGAGGACACCTTTAGTTGATTTTGGGTTCTCTACTTAAAGATTCTCTACTTAAGAATCTTTTGTAAGGATATGGTGGGGTTTTTTTAAATGATACTTTTATTTATCAAATGCAAAATAAATGTGCTTTGAGAATAAGATTACAAATTTTGCTGCCAGTTATTAATATTAAGCCATTATGGTCAGAGTTTATGGTGTTGAAATTAGTGATAGGAGGCTTAGGGTATATTTAGATTGCTGCAGTAGCAAGACCTAGAAATGTAAGAAGTTTAATTTTATTTGTCTGATTTGATGACTTTTAAATCTGAAGACACTTGGTTCTGCTTCTGTCAGGGATGCTTTTGGTTTTCAGGAATGCAATGACACTTTTCTGAGATGGGGACTCTGATAAGGAGTTACAAGCTGACAGGTACAGTTGCTCAGACCTACAATTCCAGCATTTTAGAGGCTGAAGTAGGAGGATCACTTGAAGCCAGGGGTTCAAGGCCAGCCTGGGCAACATGGCAACACCCCATCTCTAAAAAAGTAATAATCATAACAAATGATCTGGAGGTGGTGGCAGGTGCCTATAGTCCCAGCTACCTAGGAGGCCGAGGTGGCAGGATCACTTGAGCTTAGGAGTTCAGGGCCAGCTTGGGAAACATAGTGACCCTATCTCTACTAAAATAAAAAATTAGTGGAGTGTGATGGTGAATGCCTGCAGTCCTAGCTACTCGGGAGGCTGAGGCAGGAGGATTGCTAAAGCCCAGGAGGTCGAGGCTGCAGTGATCTATGATCACACCACTGTACTCCAGCCTGGGTGACAGAGTGAGACCCTGTTTCTTAAAAAACAAAGCAACAAGCTGACACCAGATTGCTTCTTTGTAAAACTACTGCAGAAATATGCTTTTTGAGCTTTGAAGTTTTGTGATCCTTCTCGGAGTCTGATGTTCTGTTTATATTTCTGTTTAGTATAGAAGTAAAAAGCCAGGGGAGTGAATGTCTTTGAAAAGAAAGGGGTCTTTATTCAGGAGTCACTGGCAGAATTTCAAGCTTTTAGAATTTGAGCATGTACTCCCCTGTGAAGGCTATGGAGTAGTCAGCCCAGGTTATCTTGAAGGATGTTGACAACTTTCTGAAAGTCTAATTAATTTGGGTTGGTATTGTGACTCAATTAGGGCTGATTGAGCTTTTCCAAAGGGATTTCACGTGTGCAGGTCTCTTAGGAGAGACTGTTGATCAGAGGTTTGTGGAGCTTGCAATTAAGACAGTAACATGTCCTAAGAAGTGAAGAGTGAAGAATCCCTGAATGACTGGGCTCCAAAAAAAAAGTACATGAGTCTAGAACCCACTCCCTGGCAATTCTATACTTGTAGGCAGCTGTCCCCCTTAAGGTTTCTATTTCAGAAAATACAGATGATTATTTTACCCCCTCATTCTCAATCTATAGGACATCTTTGCCATCTCTGTTCTGTTGGGTGTTTTAGGCACTCATTTATGTTTAAAAAGATGTACTGAGTGCTCATTATGTGCAAAATCTATGGTAAGCAGCTGGAGGAGGGGAAGCACAATAATGAACAAGGCACGGTCCATCTCTGGTGAAGAACGCAGCCTCTGAGCGAACAGGCGTGCATACCAATAACATAGGAAACAATGCAGTGTGCTGACTGCACGCTGGGTGGCCTCAAGATGCCAAATAGAATCCTGACATCAGTGCTCCTCTTCAATTCCGTCTTGTCAATATTAGAAGACCTAACTGATCTGGGGGTAGAGGCTGCTTTTGGTTTACAGCATGGTTTCCGCTTAATTGGGGAACATGCTTTTGGACAATTAAGTGAAGAGCATTGTCTGGTAGTCAGATCTGTGTTCTCGATTTTGACCCAGCTGTTACTGGATATCTGGATGATCGGGATGGAGTCTCTCAGTCTCTTAGAAATTCTGTTTCCTCATCTACATAATGAAGGATCTGGAGTAGGAGGAGGTGTCAGAAGCTGGATCCAGGATGCTCTCTGTAGCAAACAGAGAGGCTGGGCAATAACCAATCACCTTTGGCAGGTAGTTTGACTCAGCGCTGCCTGCAGGGTTATGTAAAATACTGCTTCAGAGCTGAAATGGCTCCAGCACCAGAAGAGGGGCTATGGTGCCTGTGTTAAAACGCTGCTCCTCTCCTTGACTGAGCACCTCATAGGCTGAAATCTCAAGCAAAAGAAAGCAACTTTGCTATTTTTTAAACCTTAGAATTTAAAAAAATCTGGAGGGCAAATGTTTGGAGCCATTTTATTTCCAATTATATTTGCTTACAAACACCATACAAAGTGGAAGAAGTACCCATGGAGGTCCGGGAAGTAACCACTAGCTAAGTGCTCTTAAAAACAGACAAACACTAACAAACGAACAATGAAATTGAAATTGCTGATGGCTTCATTAAGTAGGGAAGGATTTCTAATGTGCATTAATTTGGCATCTTTTTCCTGTCCACCAGTAACAATTAGTCTCCATGTCTATGAGTTGTGCATGTAGTCTGGCCCCAAGAGTGTGTGTGTGTATGTGTGTGTGTGAGAGAGAGAGAGAGAGAGAGAGAGAGAGACAGAGAGAGAGAGAGAATGTGTATACACTCAGGAGACTTTCTGCTCTGCAGCTCATACCCAAGAGAGAAAAGATGCCTCGTTTGTGGAAGATCTTTTCTGACAGATCGCTGGGAAACAGGCACAAAATGCTGTGTATTCTTCTTTATTCCTCATGAGGTTCATGCAAATGTTTTTTATTTGTTTAGCTTTTAGTGGGACATTAAGTCCTGAACTCTGAGTTGGTGCTCCCTTCCTTGCCTTCACTCTCTCTCTTTCTTTCCTTCCTCCCTTCCTCCCTGCCTTCCTTCCCTTCTTTCTCCCTTCCTTCTTGCATCTCTCTGTCCTTTGATACTTTTTGGACATAAAAAGTTAGGCTTATTCCAGTTTTAAGGTGAAGGTGAAGGCAGGGTTCCCTCCCCTTCCCTCTCACTTCTTATGTGTGACCACACACCTGAGTGAATGAGCACCTCACCCCAGTCATTTACTTGGTATTTAGCCTTTTTTCACTGTTTCAACAGAGCATAGAGGCTCTCCCTGACCCATCCCACCAGGCTCAGCGAATGCTGGGTTAATGGATAGTACAGTTAAAAGCTCTTCTGCATTTGCAGAGCTGTTATCCACCTCTGAGAACAGGAGACCCACAGAGAAAGTTTTAGTTTTTAAAAACTAGCCCCTTTTGAGATAATGGTTGAGTTGTAAAAATATAATGACTGGAGCTGGTCACACAGCAACCAAGCAGAAGACCCCAAACAATCAAATAAACAAACATTAAAATGATCAATTCATGAAATTTCTTAAATTATTCGTCTAAATGGCCTGTAGCTCTAGAATGTACAGTTGAACAGTCAGGCTTCCGTTCACTG